AGCACTATCTACAAATAAGTCTTTATCATCCACAATAGATTTCAGAGAGGAGAGCAAACAAAACATTGCACTAATGGCGCTAGGCATCCACTTTCTTTATAGAGCAATGGACCTCCCAGAGTTCTATCCCATATCAAACTCATGGTCATGTTAACTAGTTTCGAAGCTATTTGAGGTACAACCAAATCATTTAAGATGCTATTCCAAAAATTATTTTTAAGATCCTTGAAGGCAAATGTAATAGATTGGGCATTTTCCTTGCTTCCAAATAAGTGACGATCATTATTAATGATACAAGTTCCTTAAGTAGTTTAGAATGGAGAAAATTGACTTGGAGTTGTTTTCATTTTAGCAAATAGTGCAAGAGAGTGTGGTGACTACACTATCCAATTCAAGAAGCATTGATGTGTGTGTTTGCTATAAAGGCTGATTACAAATGAGAAGCCTGTAGTGTCAACATTTGTCTAAAGACTCAAGTTTGGAGTGCAACATAAAACTTGTGAAGTATCATTTGACCACACATTAGAGGTGGAGAAGTACATGCTCTTTGAGCTTGGCATGCACCATGACATCCACTCTCATGCAGGCTTCCAAGCCCCAGTGTGTGCCATTGCCCAACCAACACACATCATTGAGGACAAAATGTTGGCAGCAATTGAGTTGGCACTCAACAAGCTAAAGGAGTACCAAACACTTGTGTAGTAGTAGGCCCAATAGCAAGAGAAGCTTGTGGAGGAGCTGCAAGCACTTAGGATTCAAACTGAAACTTGATGTTATTGTTAGTAATATGAAGAATGCAAAGTTGATACACATAACATTGCAAAGTGTTGGAATCTCTATTCGAAACTTTGACCTCAATATGTCCAACAACAGCCTTCTGTGGATAATAGTTTGTTGGCACCATCATTAGTTGGGTACCAGCAATTACTTAACTAGAGAGCTATCAAAGGCACCATCAGCAAATGATTATAGCAAGTTCCCAGTGAACACCATCCATGTGGGTGAGTGACAGCCAAGGTCTCCACACAAAATTAAAGAAAGTAGCAAACTGCTATTGAAGAGCTAGACCTTCAATGCTTCAGCCCTAGCAAGTTTTTCTCCTCCATCTCTCACTTTCCATAAATAGTATTTGGGACCGAAATAAGACCAACACAACTTTTTGAAGGCATTTACAACAACATATGCATCCTCACTTATATCTCAAGATTTGGCATCTGCATGCACTCCAAACTTAACCAGTATGCCACTAAGAGGGGCCTCCATGATAACAAGTGGCTGCCCAAGCACTCTCATCAATCAAGTCTTAGCAACACTAGTTACAACAATCATTAATGCACTTTATCACCAGTTTTTTGGATTTTGGCAGCAACTTGAGACTTCAGTGAGTGGTCTCAATGGTGTGGCTTTGTCTTTAACCCTAGACATAGCTCTCATTTCAATTATCAATGCTAGAGTTGCCCTTGATCTAGCATTCATTGTCTTGACAACAATTGCAAGCATCAATGTGGAGGCTCTTGTTGACTCAGGCTCCACCACCAACATCCTCTCTTTGACAATGGCTCAGCAAGCAAGTCTCCAAATCAAGGAGTACTCAAAAGTTATATTGAAGACCTTTTTCAATCACACTGTCACTCTAGTGGGGATTTGTTGTGGCACTACCTATTTAGTTCATGGCCACAAGTCTGCAATCACCTTTTTTATTGTGGACTATGTTGCTTTGGGAGCATCTTCACATGTGCTACCAATGATCCTCAACTGGCCATAGCTAAATGCAACTCCATGCTCCTTTGACTTGAGTATAGCCAAATGTAGATTAAATAAGGTAGTGACCAAGTGACCATTTAAAGGGATAAGTTATGGAATTTTAAATGACACTAGCTAGACCAGAGTTTCCATCTGAGCCAGCAAGTCCCAACAGTGATACCTTGTTAGAATTTGAGATGCTAAAGTGCAACATGATCGGCCTTTTTTATACCATTTATACAGTCTCACCCTTTGACTATGTGACCAATCACACTTGCTCAGGCTCCAGCAAACACGAGATCTAGTCAAGATTTTATATGTTCCTCAAATACCCAAGAAAGAGGAGGAGAGCAAAAATGCAATGGCGTCTTTGGGGAGTAACTTTTCTACCTCAGGTTAGGGTGGGGTAACTTTTCTACCGCAGGTTAGGGTGGGGTGACATAGCAGAACACTCTACAATCTCCCTTCATGCAACTAGAGGTGTTGGATGTAATTCTTCCTAGCTCTCACTTGCTATCTTTCATTGAGACTCATAATGCCAACTTGAGTGTGCCCTTGGGAGTAGAGGAGGCACCTCTTGAGCATATGAAGAGTCAGGACCAGCCCATAGATGAACCATGGCCACTAGACAAGATCCCTACTCTTTAACATGAGAAAGCATTGTAAGAATTTGCATTGGTGATGGAGTTTGAGTTTAGGAGAGGGATAGTTATCTTCAAGATTATATCCACCATTCTCTCTATGATGTTGTATTTATCTTGCCTCTACAGGAAATCCTCCAAGGCACATGAACTTTATCGTGTGACACATCATCAATGATTTAGAGACTGTTTTCAATTGCGACACCTTCTTTAGACTTTCTAGAGGCCTCTTCTGGGGCTCTCAACACTCACATGGAGCAGCCAAATGAGACCCATTCATACGTGAAGCTCCTATAATCACTACTTGCAAAAGGTGGTAACAGTGGCAGATTCATTCTTATAATAGCTTGGTTTTCTTCTCCAGCTTTCCAGCACCCAAAGGTCATTGGAATAACAAGATCCCAGTCGAAGCATCACTCAATGAGATCATGGGATCTTTTGTGGCCAACACCATGGAACTCGTCCACCAGATTCATGATGACTTAGGCCACATTTTAAACTTTAGAGACACACTGTCCCAGTATGCAAGAGCTCTAGACCTTATAACACAAACAGAGTTCCAAGCTTTCATTCAAGGTCATAGTGATCCACCTTGACACATTGATGTGACATCCAGCTTTAGAGGCTGACACAACTAGCTTCACTGACATTTTTAGCTTCCTTCAAGATGCTCTTCATCCACTTGAAATATGTTACAGCATAGTGACATTCAACATCTCTTGGCATCATCACCACGAAAATCTCTCACAATGACTTCTTTTCCTCTTCTTTTTTATCTTTTCTTTGCTTTCACTCTTTTCTAGTCTTTCCAAGACTTGTATCCTTGTGGTAGCAACCTCAGATTTGGATTTCAGTTTTGAGGTGGCATCAACTCTGAATGTTTAGGAGCTCATTCATTTCTTGGCTTTTCTCCCATAGTTTCCAAAATCTTCTCTACATCAGATCTATCCACATATTATTACCATCATTCTTAGTCACTTGCAATCATCATTTGATTATTCTAATTCACTACACCTTTGTCCATCACTCACTACATTTGTCTAGCAAGAGCTTACAATATAAAAAGAAGTTATATGTCCAACCTTCATGAGCAAATAAGATTGATTGGTATATGATTTCACTATATATACTAAGTTAGTTTGCTGAAGCTAATTTACTTATATTGGCTCAAACTTCAAGATTAATATAATAGATAATATCATAAGGTTTAATCTTTATCATGGTAAGAATTTATATAAATATACAATAGAATTTTACTTGAATGACACTGAAAATCTTACATAATGCCTTACCCAATCGCAACTAATCGCATTTATTTATCAATATACATATTAGAAGCTGTTTCAAAGTTTGAAAATTTAAAATTTTTATTTGAAACTACAATGTGAAATTATAATTTATAGTAGTAGTATCACATAGTATTCAAATTTACAAAGGTATTAAAGCACTCTACTAATGCATACACGTATGCTTTTACATATCTAAATACAGATCCCAAAAACGTGCACATTCTGGACCGCACCACAATCTCGCATAAGCTTGCTAGGGCTCGATCAATCGATCATCTGCCGCGATGGATCTCAAATGGGATCAAGGATTTTGGGGCAGCTTCGCCAAGAGAGCCAAGGAGGCACTTTATGAATCTGGCGGTGCGGCTGCATCGAGGCCACAGGTAAAGCCAATTCGCAAAGATCTTTCTAAATTCTATTGTGATCCGAGGCAGGACGAGCAATCCTCTACCCCGCAAGCACAAGCTCCTGGTTTGCAAAAAGGGTTTGACGTGATCGCTACTTCACTGTCGCGGATCGGTGATACGCTTGGAAACGCTATAGAGGTATGCGTAGTGGAATCGAGGTAGAAAAGATTAAATTTGTGACACAGGGAAGCTTGAATGTTCTCGCTCCAGAACCGAAGCACAACGTTAAGTCAAAGACCGCATTGCTCAAAGAGGAAGCGGAGATCGTCCTCACAAAACCGAATGTGGACGATCAAACTCAACTCAAAGCTTCTCGGGACGTAAGCCCATCACTTCTTTTCTTTCGAGCTACTCTCCAAATCTTTCTCGATCCAGGTTGCGATGGCGATGGCATCCAAAGTAAAGCTCCTCGTCCGCGAGCTCAAGACCGTGAAGAAGAACCTCGCGGATATGAGAGATCGATGCTCGCAGCTCGAGCAAGAGAACCAGCGCCTTCGAGACAGTGTGGAGAAGGGCCCAAGGAGCGAAGACGACGATTTGGTACGTAAGATCAATCGCTCTAGACTAGATCACTTGAAACAGAGCTTTCTTCTCTTTGATCATCGCTTGGAGAACTTACATGCTGCTTCTTTCCCAGGTGAGAAAGCAGCTCGAGGCGCTTGTCGCCGAGAAATCGCGACTCTCCCAGCAAAACGCAAACTACGCTCGAGAGAACCAATTCTTGCACGAAGTGATCGAATACCATCGATTGACAATGGAAGATGTGAGCTTGCTGGACGAGAGAATCGAAGAAATGGCCGAGACAATGCAAGAAAATGGATGATATGAATGATACACAGTTTCCATATCCATTCCTTGTGTGTAAAATTCTCCTACCAAAAAGTTTTCATTTGCTAGCATATTCGCTGTTGGGATTCCCTTCCTTCCTCGAAGAAGACGTCGTCTACCTAGGCGTGATGGGGTGCGTGTAATTCTTTTTTCTAGGTAAGGGAGCGCTAGGGTTTGTGGCGAGAGAGGAAGCACCAAGGCGCTGGATCGGCGCTGCGGCACAGACGGTATGACATTCTAGTCCATCAGGCAGTGCTATCGATCGAGGCGACCATGGAGAGCAGTAATCCGGCACCATCGCTCTCCTCTTCGTCGCACGCCCAGCTCCCGGCCAGGATTTCTAGCCTTCTCCCCGCCTCGTTCTCCAGGATTTCGAGCTTGCTAGAGGTCTCGGGGCTGCTGAGAGGCGCTCCACAGGAACTAGGCCCTATGAACAGGGACAGGGACGAGAGTGGCGGAGCAGAGGTGTCGATCAGGATAATTGCCGACTCTGGGTCGCCGAGAGAGAGTGGCTCGGGGCGCCCGCGGGCAGCCGATTCGACTGTCCAGGACGAGCAGAGTGGTTCTGATAGAGAGCTGGAAACCGAGGAGTCCACCACAATTGCTACCGCTGCTGGCGATCGTGAGGCCGTGAGGTATGATTTCCAGCACCTAGCTAAATGGGTCGAGCAGATCCTCCCATTCTCGATTTTGTTACTCGTGGTCTTCATACGCCAGCATCTCCAAGGTCTCTTTTTTTTTGTTTTTCCTTCGTTTCTTCGCTCTCCATTTCTAACTTTGTGGCTTTCTTTGTGTTGAAGGTTTCCTTGTGACGCTTTGGATATCAGCTATTATGATCAAAGCGAATAGTCTTCTTCGTAAGCAGACGTCTCTAAGAGTAAGTGACTACCATTTTTCTTCTCCTCCAGTCCCCAGTTTGATGATATCTTTTTTTTCTTCTTTCAGGGAGAGCGAAAAACGTACATTCTAGTGGTCCTTGCCGCATTTCTCATCCAACATGTCGAGGGTATATACTGGTGGTATCGTGCCGACGCTCTTTGGCGACCGCTTGTTCTCCTCCCACCGAAAGACATCCCAAACTTTGCGGACGCGTTTTTCAATATTGTTTTGAATGGCAAGCAAATCCTATGACACTCTCTGCCATTGCTGATCTCATACTTTTACTGTTTCTTCCTCAGATACGATGGTCCGGTTGTCTGCCATGGCATTCAAGTGCGGTGTTCTTATATACTACAAGAAAGGCCGAGGACGTAACTATCGATGGCAGGTTAGTTTCTTCAATTGGTTTCGTCATGTCAATCGTGAGTGTGTATCTCGATGCAGGGCCAAATATTGACTCTCACCGAGTATGTTGTTCTACTTTATCGAACTGTAATACCAGGACCAGTCTGGTACCGCTTCTTTTTAAACAAAGAGTATGGGAGCCTGTTTTCATCGCTGACAACAGGATTATACCTCACCTTCAAAGTCACCTCGGTCCTTGAGAAGGCAAGTTTTATGCCTCCCAGTTTTCACTGCCTCTAAACTTTGTAAAAACCACACAGGTGCAAAAGTTCGCTACGGCAGTGAGATCGATTCTTCGCAGGGAAGTCCAATACGGTACATATGCAACGCATGAAGAGGTGAAGCCTATAAACTCGGGCTATAGTATTTCGAGTGACAATTGTGAACGATGGATGTTCCAGGTGCTCGCGGTAGGAGATCTGTGCGCTATATGCCAGGAAAAGATGCACGCCCCGATATCCTTGCTGTGCAAGCACGTCTTTTGCGAGGATTGCGTCTCCGAGTGGTACGTTTCATCAAATCCTCTGTGCAAGGGAGAGAATTTTCATGCGAGTTTTTCTTCGTTTTTGCTACACAGGTTTGAGAGGGAGCGAACTTGTCCATTATGTCGATCGGTTGTGAAGTCGTCGGAGCTAAGATCTTTTGGCGATGGCTCCACGAGTCTCTTTGTACAGCTCTTTTAAAGAGAGAAGGGGCCAGCCAGTAAACAAGATTTTCGTCCACACTCTTTTAGTTTAGTTTGTTAACCATGCGGTGACGTGGCGTCCGACGTGGAAAAGCCCTAACCATCTCATCCACGGGCGGCCACGTCATCGCAGCTCTGCCTCTTGGCATTCCGTTGCTCCAATGGTGGTGCTATAATGCTTTTTTTCCTCTTCTTCTTCTTCGCGCACAGAGGCCTTCTTTAAAGCGGGGGCGATGATCCGGCAGCGCGAGTGATCGATCCACCAAGATCAATCCATTTGCTCGATCGATCGCTCATCGATCGATCGCGGGCGCGCAGCAGCAATGTCGTTCGCCAATGCGCTGGCGCTGGACACGAGCGACCGCGAGCAGCTGTCGGCGCGCGGGCTGGATCAATCCGGGGTGGCCGTGGCCCTGGCCAAGCCCATCAAGGCGATGCGCCTGATCGACTCGCAGCGGTCGCTGGACGAGAAGGCGCTGAGCGATCTCATCTCCTCGCCCCGCCCGGCGCCGCGGCCGCTGGAGACGGTCAAGAGCTCCGAGTGCCTCGAGGCGCTGGCGTCGCCCAGCTTGCGGATGATCGCGGGGCCAGCCAGCGCCGCCACGCCGCGATCGCCACTCCATCCCTACGAACCCAATCCCATGATCGCCGAGGCCTGGGACTCTCTCAGGAAATCGCTGGTTTACTTCCGGGGCAAGCCGGTTGGGACCATCGCCGCGCTCGATCCAAACGAAGAAGCTCTCAACTACAACCAGGTATCGAGTTCTTTCCATAGAGTTTCTTTGCATTCCTCTTTCTTGCTTTGTTTTCTTCGAGCGTTTTCTTTTTCATCTTCCTCATCTCTCATGGAGATGTGAGCTCTCTCTCTCTCTCTCTCTCTCTCTCTCTCTCTCATACTAAGTCCTGCGTTCCATGGCCAGGTATTCGTGCGCGACTTTGTTCCCAGCGCGCTGGCCTTCCTCATGAACGGCGAGGCGGAGGTGGTGAAGAACTTCTTGCTCAAGGCGCTGCGCCTCCAGGCGTGGGAGAAGCGCGTGGACTGCTTCACGCTGGGCGAGGGCGTCATGCCCGCCAGCTTCAAGGTGATGCAAGATCCAGTGCGCGGCACCGAGACGATGCTGGCCGACTTTGGCGAGGCCGCCATCGGGCGCGTCGCCCCCGTCGACTCGGGCTTCTGGTGGATCATCCTCCTCCGCGCCTACACCAAATCCACGGGCGACTTCACGCTCGCCGAGATGCCCGACTGCCAGAGGGGGATGCGACTCATCCTCTCCCTCTGCCTCGCCGAGGGATTCGACACATTCCCCACGCTCCTCTGCGCCGATGGATGCTGCATGATCGATCGGAGAATGGTAAACACGATCAAAGAACTTTTAAAACTCTGTCTTGCCTCTAGTTCTTCTCACTCTCGATGGGTGTTTCACTCACTCTCAATCTTGGGTCTGTTCGATCTTTCTTTCTCCATTCACGGCTGACGTTACCTTTGGATCTTTGCCGTTTACCAGGGAATCTATGGCTACCCGATCGAGATCCAGTCCCTCTTCTTCATGGCACTGCGCTGCGCCAAAACCCTCCTAAAACCCGAGCTGGGCGGCAAGGAGTTCATCGAGAGGATCGAGAAGCGGCTGGTGGCGCTGAGCTACCACATCCGTACGTACTTCTGGCTCGACTTCCAGAACCTCAACAACATATACCGCTACAAGACCGAGGAGTACTCGCACACGGCCGTCAACAAGTTTAACGTGATCCCGGACTCCATACCCGACTGGGTCTTCGACTTCATGCCCATGAAGGGTGGCTACTTCATTGGAAACGTGAGCCCCGCCAGGATGGACTTTAGATGGTTCCTCATTGGCAACTGCGTTGCAATACTCTCGTCCATCGCCACCCCGGAGCAAGCGTCGGCAATCATGGACCTGGTCGAGGCTCGCTGGGCGGATCTCGTCGGGGAGATGCCGCTCAAGATCAGCTACCCAGCCATGGATGCCGAGGAATGGGTCATTGTCACTGGCTGTGACCCCAAGAACACCCGATGGAGCTATCACAATGGAGGAACTTGGCCAGGTATGCATTTCTCTTCCACCACCTTTTTTCAATCTTTAGAGAAACTTTGTGGTTTTGTATTGCAGTGCTGCTGTGGATGCTCACCGCAGCTTCGATCAAAACCGGGAGGCCTCAGATCGCTCGCAGAGCGATCGAGCTTGCGGAGCCGAGGCTTTGTAAGGAAGGGTGGCCCGAATACTACGATGGGAAGCTTGGGAGGTATGTTGGAAAGCAGGCTCGCAAGTTCCAGACGTGGTCGATCGCCGGCTACCTCGTCGCCAAGATGCTGCTAGAGGATCCATCGCACTTGGGAATGATCTCGTTAGAAGAAGACAGGAAAGGGAAGCCCGTTATCACTCGTTCTGCTTCATGGACTTGCTAAGAAGTTCTTTTTTTCTTTCTTTTTGTTTTTACGAAGTACAAATTAATAATAGAATTGTCGCTCCATGTAGAAAGGGATGGGTTAGGCATTATTTGATCATTTAAAAGGTATAAGCTAATTTGTTCCAAAGGGCAAAATGAAAAACAGGGATGATCTCGTTAGAAGAAGAAGCCCCTTATCACTCGTGAAGGTCTTTTTGTTTTCACGAAACAAATTGCATTGCTTTTTGGCAAAACTTTTGCTCCAAGAACACAGGAAGCTTTCTTTACAAGATCTTGAAAGCTTGCGTGACAAGAGTTTTTTCTGCTCGTCACTGCCCAGTGGATTGATCAGTCGATCCATCAGTGGCGAGGCTTCTTGCTCTGGTGCTGCAGTACCCATTGCCTTGTGTAGCAGTTTACTTCCTTTTCCAATTGCTTCCTGTTGTCTTCCTCCTCTTGCTGGAGAGCCAGCGACACTGCCCGTGTGATCCGGTCGGCATGGGGTGGATCCAGGGCCACCTCGTCCTCTATGAAATGGCAGTCGGGCTTGAGAGCCCTCTTGTTGTTCGTCGCCACCCAGTGATCGTAGTCCGGGTAGTCGAAGCTATCGTACTGCTTGACCCGGATGCTCTTGGTAGCGTTGCTGCCCTGGTCAGCTACCATGTCGTTGATCATGCGCTGGAGATCGACATACCTGTCAACGTTCACAGCCACCATTGTCTTCTTGTCTCGCAACTCTGATCTCTGTATAAAACCCTTTACCTTATACCAGTGTTGTACTTTGCTGATGAGTTAACTTAATCTAAGTCATTTTGCTATTCATGGATTGCAAGATATTGAGGATCTCGAGTAATTTTCTTTTTTAAAAAAGTTATTTTATTGCTGCCACGCCAGTGAAGAGTTCAAGCAGCTATTAGGAACAACGAGGCCTTTGTTTTGGCCAAAGGCGTTCAAGCAAAATGCCGATGGAGTGGAGCCGTTTGAGAGGTTGAGAAAAACGTTCTCGAGCACCAGATTGTAGCAGGGGTTGCCCAGGCTGCACTGGAAGCGAAGAGCCACACTGCTTGCCGACGTTCCCATAATGTTCGAGTAGGAAACATTGCTGACTTTCACAGCATCCAGCTGCAAAAACAAAAACCGATATCTTGAAGTTCCTCATAGAGACTGATAGAAGATTGGAAAAGTTTTAGTTACTTCCTCTGTGCCGCAGGAGAAGGAGCTGTTCCCATCGCAGTAGTATTGATCGATGATAATGGGCTGAAGGACGTTCATCATCACAACGTTGTAATAGCTGAAGTTGCTCGCAAATCCTTGGCCGCCCTGTAACATATCAAATGTTTGGAGTTTTCATCGAATTAAGATGAAGATTTGGACCTGCCATGTTTTGATCCTGAGTCCATACTTGGTGCTCTCCAAAATCGAATTCTCAACCTTGACATTGGACACAAACTCTGGTGTCTTGTTCCTTCCAAGGCTCCCTATACTAGCTTGAAAAAAACGAGAAGAAAAAATCGTTTAAAATTTTCATAACTTCCACAAAACAATTACCTGATTCCATGGCCCGGCCCACAAATTATTTCGCGTATGACAACGTTGGAGGTGTTCTTTGCTATAGATATACAGTCATCACCTGAAAAAATAAAAAAGGATTCGTCGTTTAAAAACTATGATAGAAAAAGTTCTACCAGTTCCAATTATGCATTTCTCGATAGAAACGTTGTTGCTCATGTGTAAGTGTATGCCGTCCGTGTTGGGGCTGTCGTGGGGAGCGAGGATTTCCACCCCTTTAATGCTCACATTGGAGCTTTCCTCGATCGCCAAATGCATTTGGGGGCTGTTTACAAACTTGAGATCCTGAATTGTGATGTTCGCCGAAGCTCTGATTGACAATGCCTGTAAAATGGTTTAGTTTGAGTCAGCCGCCACGCAAGTGTAAGAATCAAGAACTTAGCTGTGGGATGTTTCTGGCACGCCTGAAAAGAGAAAGGAAAAAAAAGCACAATCAAAAGTTAGAAACGAATATAATCTGTACGAAGAATCACTCACATACGAACTGTTACGTCTACACGAAATTCTCCACCACTCTTCGCCTTGCCCGTCGATTATACCGTAGCCTTCGACGCTAAAGTCGTGAACTCTGGCTATGGAAATCCATGTTGTGATGTTGCTCCACTGGATCATATCCCGGGTGTCCGCTAAAACAATACCATCAATCTATCTAGGTGGAAAACAATGGCACAAAGATAATCTACGTACATAGAGTATATATTATCACGCACCTTGAGTCTCAAGTTCGTCGCGCATGGCCCAGTGAGAAGCAAATAATTTACAACAAAAGCCTTTCCACCGGGCACAAGCATGGTGGCGTTTTCCGTGTGACAAGCACGTTTCCAGGCCGCGAGAAAAGCCTGAAAGAAACGATATAAGCATGTAGTGTTCTATAAACAATATCTAGGAAACAGGGAAAGCTACCTGGGAGTCGTCACTAAGACCATCGCCGCGAGCTCCAAACTCCACCACATTAAACTCTCTGGGATCATAGCTTGCTCCCTCCGGCGATAGAGCTGGCGATAGCTCAGAGAGATCCGCCACTCCGCGAGCGATCATAACAGCGACAAGGAGGAGCTCCGTAAGAGCTACCATTCTTCTTCTTCTTCTTGTTCCTCTCTCATTCCTCGTTCTTTCTCCTTCACTGGATATGAACTCGATTTCTCCGAGCTTGACGATCGATGCTCGAGATCATCCTTTGCTTGCCTACCCGGATTGAAAAACACGGAGATTCGAGTTAGTTGGATGTGGAACTAGGTGAGAACCTACCAGTAGCACTGGATTCCAGTTTTGCTCCAAAAAATCCTTGATGGCAGGCCTCTCGGGTTGAAGTGGAGCAAGCTTGCGAGTTGCGAACGGGGATTGTTTTATTTTCCCTTGAATAACGAAAAAACGATTCCTGCGAGTAAACAACATAAGCGTGCTTATTGACACAAGAGTTGGCACAGGGAGCCTGCACTCGCAAAACTTGGCACACTTTTCTTACCGCGTTTTCCATGGAGCTCTCCGAGCCGAGCGCACTGTTTATAAATAATATTAAAAAATCTATTCAATTCAAGAAAAATCTTGATGAAATTCAAAGCGAGCCTGAATAAATTCTCTGAGCTTGTACTTGGCCGCGAAATTCTCGCCTATCAAAAATCGATAAGCCAATGAAGGGAATAAACAAAACTAGTTTACAATCCGTGCTCCATATTTTGGTCCTGGATGTACTGCTTTTGCTGGATCAAATCGTGGAGCTGGCCATGGTATTAATGTTTGTAGAGGGGGTCGAACCCAGCGACCTGGCGTTTGTGACCTTGCAATGACGAGAGCTGCAAAGGTACCGGATTCTTCATTTCCTTCGTTAGTACCTGGAGTGGGAAGAGAAGTGCCGGATAATTTAACAACATCGTCATCCATAATCGTTCCTCCTTGAGGCATCCTATAAGGGTAAGAACTGGGATTTGCCTGAAAAACCTGTAGTACTTCATTCTCCAAGGATTGAAAATTTTTGCCGTCGCCTCGAGATCTCTAGCGAGCGTCAGTAGCACCAGATAAAGCAAAAACAAAATTGCCAGAAAGACCACCAGCAACAAACCCGAGTGAAAGGAACATGCCCATTACCAATTAGAGCACCTCTAGAATTTTTAGTGTCACCATAGGTGCAGTGAGTTACTACTTGCCAGGTTGTTTACATGATTATTACTCAATCAGTTATGAGCTTGTATATGAGTTTCATGAAGAAAAACAATGCAATCCGAGCTCCTTTGCCAAACTTTTGCAAGAGAAACACTGATACGATCGCCAAGAATTTCATCAGCGCCACCAACAACACGAAGAACGCCTTCAAAATTTTCAAGATGGCATTCATTTTCCTGAAAATCCTTTAGGGTGAGAAAGTTTATATAGCAGAGAACTACCTTTTCGCCACCTTTTTCCATTAAAAAAATATACAAGCTTTTAAAATGATTCCTTTTGTGATTTTGGCTGTTTGTTAAGCGGCTGTATCCGGGTGTGCCGCCCCAATGGACAAGCCCGATCCCTGGTTTCTTGTGCTTGCTCTTGTTTGTTACCTTGAATCCCTTGCAGCATGGGACACAGATGCATCCCCAACGGCTGCCATCGAGGAGAAGATGTATGTGGCTGCAAGGACCGATACTTGAATGATGTGCTGGTGAGTAAAGTAGCTCTTTCTCAAGTTCCTAGTAACTTTCTCGTGGAGGTTTAGTGCACCGGACATTGCGTGGTAAGTTGAGGCTCTCCAAGTTGTTATAGCAGGCTTTGCTTGAACAAGGTCGACGAGCTTCACAAATAGCAGGACGAAGAACGCTCTTAGTTGTCGTTGGCATTCCAGATGCATGGTACTATGAAGCTTTCCTCCTTTTCAAGTCGCGTTTGTGCAGTCTACGAATTTGACACGAAACAATGTGCTCAACGACAGGAAACATTCCAGTAAGCAAGCATTCTAGATGTTCGTTAAAATCCAGACCGGCATACACCCATATTTTGCTCCCGATCAAGGTGGCAAAAAATACCCAATTAATTCTGTCACATTAGATAGCTGTTAAATGCCTCACCATTTCTGTCATCGGTTGTGGGCCCAAGCATAAATTGAAGATCGTGAAATGACCTACTATGTAGTATCATTCATCGTCAGACGTGTCTTATGACACTTGCAGATTGCTAGCTTGTCCTCGCTTGGGTGAAGATCAAGCTCATCAGAGGCGCAAGAGGAAATAAAGAGCCAAACTTTCGTAGGGTGGAATAGGACATGATGAAATGCATATCAAGATATCAATTACAACTGCTGAAGAGTTTATGATGTCTAGAGGGCTCTAGTTCAAATTTCGTGAGCAGAGGATTGATAGACAGTGATGAAAGCCTTCTGCAAACTTACAAACCTAACCATAAAAGTCATCAAATTATGTGGTATAGTTCATCACGATCTATGGCTTGGATGGTATAGAACCTGAGATTCACTCCCAACCATCACACACGAAGCATATTAAAGAAAAGAAAAAGAAAAAATGGATTATTCTTTATAAATTTTTTGAATCCAGTGGTGATAAAATATATTATAGCATATATAGAAAAATGGTAAACTAAGTGGCAATTGAAATGGTGTAGGACTTAACTTTAGTGGGTATCATTAATGAAAAATTACAACTAACTTATAAGCATGAAAAATATGAGAAGAAAGCTCATAAATAAGAGAATATTATCTAAATTAGTCAACTAAATAATATATTTGCAATAACTTAAAGTCAAATTGTGTTGGCTTTGCAACGCATTTTTTGTAGGCTTTAGTTTTGTGACACTAGTGTGGCTACAAAAGAACTTACGGTCAAACGACTCCAGCCGCGACTGAGAATCCATGCGAGGGCTATGATCTTCAAGATCTCTCTTCTGTCCTGTCTGAATGCTGGAGGACAAGATGAGGTATTTCCTTGTTGGTCCGATTGATATTTTTTACCTTCCCTTGTTTGCCTTCAGGGTACCATTGTGGAAGAAACGATTCCACGGCTCTTCAAGGGACACCAAGGTTTGTGGTGATTGTGCTCACTTGTGGTTTAAGTGTAGATGATTTGCACTGCAGATATATGATAGGTGCGAGTTTCCTTTGATGCTGGACTTGGACAGAGAACGTGGAAAGTGTCTGTCTCCTAATGCGGATAAAAGCGTACGCAATCTCTACGTTTTACACAGGTATGGGATTTCGAAGGGGAGCAGATGATGAGCAAAGGCCTGTCTTGGGAATCGTGGTGGTGCCAGTAGACGAGCTCGGAACATTCCTCGAGATCTCGGCAGGAAAGGAATCGAAAGTTTTGCCGCCACCCGACGTTCTTCTTCACAAGCGCTATAAAACGTTTGTTGCTTTTGTTGGCTTCTTGGTTTGCATAGTCTTGTGTTTCACAGCGGAGAAGCTATGCCTGGGGCAGCATCTCCTTGCGCGAGATCATGTTGAAATGGTGGAGTAAGTGAAAGCATCGGCCTAAGATAACGGAGGGCATTATATACGGCCCGCTCTTTCTGTGGTGTTTTGCTTCTTAAGACTTAACCCGCGTTTCCATTTCTGCAGACACCACAAACCATGCCGAGATCCAACAGTAACGCCGCATGCGTATATGTCAGGAAGAGCTATAAAAGTAAGGTTTTTTACTTATAAAAGTAAGGTTTTATAAAAGTAAAGTTTTTTACTTATAAAAGTAAGGTTTTATAAGGTTTTTTTTTATAAAAGTAAGGTTTTTTTTAAAGTAAGAATCTCATGGAGATCTTTAAATTAATCTTGGATGTATAACACAATAATTCCATATGTGCCATGGCATATAAGGAAATAGAGTTTTAACAAACTCTATTATAAGAAACAAATTTTTTATTCTAAATTTAAAAAATATAAATTTTTAATACCATAAGGTCCACAATACCATATACTATTATTAACATAAATACTCTATATAAGCTAAGGTTTTTATAATAATTGAATATGCACATTTTTGTATTCCATCAAATCCCATTGTGAATAGTGATGGAAAACTATACTCTAGCAAATATAGAAAGATAGTATATACGTGACAATAAAAAAAATTAAGATCTATATTATTTACGCTTTCCAATTTGTGGTATGTTTTTCAAGAACAGCTAAAAATTATGCTTTTTTTTGTGTTTTTGTCGTAGCAATGTGGGTAAATTACTCGTAAATCAAGGGGACTGAATTCTATGAAGAGGAGACAAGTTTTAGTCACTTGGTGTTTCAGACCTTTATTGGCAACCATCCAGGTCAAAGCAACATAGCTACAATGATGTTGTTCAATGAGTGGCAGAGGAGTTGGAACTGGATGATCCCTCGCAGGTCCGGTTGACAGTACTCGACGAACAGTAGAGCACATATCAAAACATCGCCTTCGTTACTCTTGTGCTACAGGTTCTTTACTTTGAGACATTGGCTTCGCCTACCTCGCTCATGGAAAAAGCATTAAACATATCTCTCTATGATGCTAGAATCGTCAAACTAAGCGCCTGACACATTTGTCTTGTGATTTTGTGACCAACCACTTCGTTTCTCAGGTCGCCGCTCCCAACGTACCTGTGAGTGAGAACAGCACAGCCGTGGAGCTTCTCGGTGAACTTAAGAAGAAGCTTGGTGATCTCTGTAAACCAGATGCAGAGCTTCGACTCTTGCAAGTTTCCTCCCACAAGGTTCTCAAGGTCGGTTATAAACGTTTCTGCTTGGTAAGCTCTCATTTTTATTTTATTTTTTCAGATTTCTAATGCGGATGAGAGGATCAACAACCAGAAGTGCTGCACTTTTCGAGCTGAGGAGGTAATCAAAGAGATGAAGAAAGCTGCTTAACATCATATTTTTGCTGTTGAAAGATTCCGGATGAAGACAAAAATCTGGGTGATAAGAATCAATTGATTTGTGTTTCACATTGTACACATCAGAACTTTATAATATCAGTTTCTGAAAGCTTCACAAGTGGTCTTCTGTGAGGTTGAAAACTTCGGAGAGCCTTTTCTCTTCTCTGTGCGTGAGAATGAGAATTTATAAGAGCTCATTCGATCCAAACTACAAGTACCTGATGTTGAGTTTCCCGAGGTGATCGTGCTTACTGTACATGATGATATCATTTTCTTACAGTGGAAATTACATGTTTACATGTCCATGGGACGACCATTTTACCTTCGCAACCTCGACATTATTGCCAGCCTCTTTGAGGTGCCCACGGCTCAGGGACACTATGTGAACTGCATTGAATGCACTGATGTTAACCACAAGATTACTCGGCAGGAATCGTTCTATGGTATGTTGTTCGGTGGTTTTTAAAGGTTTTTAACAGAATAGTGTGTGCTTCAGACTTGCAACTGGAAGTCAAGGGCTGCAAGGACGTGTATGCGTCTTTTGACAAGTTTGTCGGCGTGGTGAACGACAAGTATCACGCACGGTCGTATGGTATGCAGGTGAGCTGTGGATTCATCTCAAGGTCACACTATTATGCCAGAATGCGAAGAAAGAAATTTACTTCCTAGACTTTCCACCTGATCTCCAGCTGCAGCTTAAGCGATTTGAGTATGACTCTACCCGTGGCAACGTGATCAAGGTTTGTGGTGATTGTGCACCTGTGGTTTAAGTGTAGATGATTTGCACTGCAGATATACGATAGGTTTCCTTTGATGCTGGACTTGGACAGAGAACGTGGAAAGTATCTGTCTCCTAATGCGGATAAAAGCGTATGCAATCTCTACGTTTTACACAGGTATGGGATTTCGAAGAGAGCAGATGATGAGCAAAGGCCTGTCTTGGGAATCGTGGTGGTGCCAGTAGACGAGCTCGGAACATTCGTCGAGCTCTCAGCAGGAAAGGAATCAAAAGTTTTGCCGCCACCCGACGTTCTTCTTCACAAGCGCTACAAAACGTTTGTTGCTTTTGTTGGCTGCTTGATAGAACCCGTTTGCATAGTCTTGTGTTTTACAGCGGAGAAGCTATGCCTGGGGCAGCATCTCCTTGCGCGAGATCATGTTGAAAATGGTGGAGTAAGTGAAAGCATCGGCCTAAGCTACGGCCCGCTCTTTCTGTGGTGTTTTGTTTTCTTAGGAATAAAGTGGAACGGTGGCTTGTGACGAAGGCCAATGTCGAAAGTAGTATGAAGAAGGAGATGAAGGAGAAGAAGACGACGACGAAGAGGACGATGAAGCAAAAGCAGAAGACGAAGAAGAAGCAGCAGAAGTTAAAGAATGGAAAGAAGAGAAAGGTAAGAACTGCTTCTTAAGACTTAACCGCGTTTCCATTTCTGCAGACACCACAAACCATGCCGAGATCCAACAGTAACGCCACATGCGTATATGTCAGGAAGAGCTATAAAAGTAAGGTTTTTTGTAATGTAGACGCTGAAGAAATCGCCAAGGATTTGCAGATTGATATATGTTTTCATCCCCTAGATTCACCCTTCCATAGGTGCAATGTGGAGCGAGCTCGAACGGCAAACACAAAACTATGTGTTGCACTAAAACAACAAAATCTGCGACACGTGAAACAGAAAAGATCCAATTTCGAGCAGCAATGTATTTGTGATTACACATTAAGCATGCCATCATGGAATGGAAGTTATCACCAAATGTGTATAACATATAGAAGGTTAATTGGGACAATTATTAATTTCACAACTTTTGTGAGGACAAAGTGAAGATTAATTTTTTCTGACAAATCTTATGAGTTATACTTCTTCATGGTGGAAATAGCTTCTCGTCGTTCATCAGAAATCTGTAGAAAGGGTTGGAATTTTTATCACAAACAGAATAGTGGTGAGAAATGAAAGATCAGCTATTTTCCCTAGCTACAAGCAAAGAACGTGATGAAAATTTCTGTTTGCCTGGATCTCTTTTTATGTTGTGTTGGTTGCCTCCCTAGCTCTGTTGGTGCGTCTATCTCCTGCTAGCTTGATGAAGAATGACAATAATATAACCTCTCCCCAGGAAGAGGTTGATCTTTTTCCTGCAAAAAACACTTCAATTTCAAATGCTGAGTATCGAGCTCGCCGCCGGATCGCCACCTTTCCCACGTAACAAACGCGAGTGAGATTATCTATTTGTTCAAAACATGAGCTCAATACAAGATGTACATAACCCCCATCCCAAAAACAATTAACCAAGGAAAAAAGAAAACGAAAAAAATATAGAGCGAAAGAGAAGAGAGCCCACAGAAAGGTGTGGAAGCGCAACTTTGCTTTGCTTTGGAAGTTAAATCCCACTGTGCCCTTGACCCCGGCATTCCATTTGCCTTCCTCTTTTTTTTTTTAAGTTCCTTTTCTTCCCACGTCAAAAATGTGTGCTCCACCCAAACTATCTCAATTGTAGATCTTCACTGGCTTCTCAAATGCGTGTCGGTTCTGGAACAATACAATCGTTAAGCAATCCGTGGAAATCCGATATAGAAGAGGAGAGTGCTATGTATCTTACCTGACTAGCAAGATGAGAACGCTTTGGTGCTGTGTCCGAGTGCTCCAAACCCAGGTAGTGCTCCCAAGCACCATAGACATCCCGCTTCTACAAATCCCCAAAGTTACGTAAGCACACATAAAGCATTAGGAGCACAAACTACCTGAAAGCGACTAGCAACAATGTCACCATTGTGTAGGTAATCCGGCCGCCCCAACGAAAGGAAAGCAAACTTCCACTGCAAAAAAAAAAGCATGAGAGGTTTGAATACAACGGAAACCAAGTGTAATGCTGGGCTTGCCTTGGAGAATTCATCGTCAGGTACTTGTAGTTTGGCTTGGATACGGTCTCTGACCTCCGCCAGAGTCTCGTTCTCGCGCACGGCTAGAAAGAATGGCTCTCCAAAGTTTTGAACCTGCGGAAGAGATGTTGCTTGAGAGAAAGTAAAACTACTGCAGGAATACCATGTTGTTTTGGACGGCATCCCGTGTGTAGTGGTAGACATGGATCAATCGGTCTTGAGGACCCAAATTTTTCTCTTCCTCCGGAATCTACAGAAAACACATGTTAAGATGCCAACTCCAACTAGAGCGTTTAGAGTTACCTCTTCAGCTCTAAGAGTCCAGTATTGGTCGTTGATATTTTCGATCTTCTCATTTGCAGGAAAAATCTGAAAACCTTGGACATTAAGATATGCTCGATCCAAGAAAAAGGCCAAACCTTGTAAATCTTGTGATAGAAGACTTCCAAAATTCTGAGCTCCGCATCCGGATTCGACAGCTCAACTAGACCCTTCAATTCATTGATAACATCGCCAACCGTACTATTCTTAGGAAGCCGTACGTTGTGTACAGACACCTGCATAAAAAAGAAATCGAACTTAATGCGAAACACTTCTAGCTACAGACTTACCTCTTCAGTTCTAGCATTATGAAAAGCGATTTTTAGTGTCTTCAAACCTTGCAGTTCTGGAAGTGGTAGGTCCAAGGTTTCAAAATAAAGAATATCCGAGCTCTGTCACGCGGAATTGACAAAAAGATAAACAAAAGACGAATGGAATGAACGTATACCTGGTTGTAATGCACGAGCATGTCGCTTAGATGTTCTACACCCCGGTATTTAATCGGTTGTGGCTTCGGCTGTTGAGAATAGCAGTTATGTGCTGTTAATCGAATTTTGGAGGCATCATCCAGCTCTAGTTTCGTAGCCACTCTCTCAACAACGTCGTCGTAAGTATGTTGCTTTGACCTGAATGTGAATAATATTAACAGGGAAAGAATAAGAGAAGAACAATGTCACTTACAGTTCCAGGCAAAACTCATCCTCTTTAGGTCTGTCAAGTCGTCTGAAGTGAACCACCTAACACAACAAAACAGTTTAAAAGAACAAGCTCATCACACAGGCTGGTTACCTGTCTGTTTCGCACATATTCTAGAAAAGAAGGAACATCCGGATAACGGAATCGCCCTTCATCCTGAGGTGAAAGGGCCTTCTGATAACATAGGATATCTCCATCCTCGAGCTGTGAAGAACGGAAGTGAATTAGTGACTAGGAAACTAACAAACACAGCCTACCTGACTCGCCTTGAAAGTAAGTTTTTTGTCCACGGGTTCGCACATCACATTTGGTTCAAACTTTATTTCTTCAAATATTTGAACCTCAGTGTTTGCCGCGAATCCAGCCAGCTCGTTTAACTTTTCCAAAATATCAGCAGGTTTTCCCCCTTGTTTCACGAAAAGTTTGCCCACGTAGCTACAAGGAAGAAGTCAAAAATTAAAGTCACGTACATAAGCAGTATTTACCGTAGTTCGGTTTGTTCCGGGTCATAGAACTTCAAAAACAGCAAGATTTCATCCTTCGCCTTTTCGAGAACTAAAAGGCTAGGCACCTCCTGTTAATATCCAATCAGGACGTGCTCAATCACAAACACAAAAAGCCTTACCGGCCGCTCCTCAAGAAACAGTTTCAGCTCGGCATTATGGGCCTTATTCGAAGCTTCCTTCAAAAGACCCACCTATAAAAGAAATATTAGCCAAACTATAAAAATTGCTCAAACATACACTTTGTGCCTCTTCCTGCTCAGTTAATGGTCGATTTGGACGGTAGGTGTGGTTTTGCCGCTTAGCCCACAGCCAGAATCGTTGACAGTGAACGGGAACTTTAAACTCCTTGGCAACCTCTTCCTTGAACTGAGTAAACGGCATCTGCTTCTGTATGCGGAAGCTACGCACTTTCTCATGATCAACAAGGTCGAAAAAGATGTCCTTGCCAATCTGTGTTTTCAAATCCTCCTCACGAGCAACCTTGATTTTGGATGGTCAGAACATCAGAGCGAAGAGAAACGGTTGAGTACCTTGATTACTGTATACAGATGAGCCTCGGCTTTCTCCTTCCGTTTCCGTTCTTTCTCTTCGTGCTCTTTCTTCAAGCGCACCTAAAAGGAAAAGAGAACGAACTGTTACTCCACCAAAAAACACCGAAAAATATTACCTGCAAGTGCTCAGCAATATCTTTCACGTCTACATTGCAGATAACCTTGTCCTTATCGCTCTCTCTGATATATACAAGCATGTATGCATTGGAGTACTTCGTAAATTTGAAAGGAGGGTTGTTAAATCCGGGATTGGTCTGTGGCAACTGTAAGAAAAACAATAAGTCACCGAAACTAGTTTAATGACATGCTTACTTCCTCTTCTCCACCATACTGCTCCTCAAAAGCCCTTTTAACTTCCTCCTTTGTCACCCGTTCATCGTCGAACTTGTACCTGCAAATAGTCCGTTATAAAGTTTGTCTCCACAAAACAACAGCGAACGACACCCACCATTGATCGGAAAGTGTAGGCCGGATAAAAGCATAATAGTGTCCTCCGTGAACCCCTCCGCTGTGAACCAGGACACTGCACTTGCACTTATTACCGTACTGCAATGCGAAGGCCCAAAACATATACGCTACCTGTGTAAAGTATATAGATTCCGCACACTTCTATCTGCGTCAGGGGACAAATACTTCCCGTCTTCTCTGTCCAAGTCCAACTCCAAAGGAAACTCGTACCTATCATTAATCTGCATAAAATACCATTACAAACCAAGCTAACCAAAATGAAGTCGACGGACCTTGACCATCGTGTCGCGAGTGAAATCATATTCAAATCTCTTCAGTTGTAACTGGAGAACAGGTGGAAAATCTATAAAGAGCACTCCTTTCTTAGCATCCTGCAATTTGAAAGCCCATCAGCTGCATTCTAAACGTGAATAGGAAGGTCACCTGCAAACCATTCTGTTCGGCATGGTACTTATTATCCCCCTCAAGTTTCTCAACCTCCACATACTTGTCAAATGACGCATACACGTCCTTGCAGCCCTTGACATCCAATTGCAAATCTGTAACACACGTTGTGAGAAGCCCAGACTACTCAATATCAACATACCATAAAATGACTCTTTCCGCGTAGATTTGTAATCGACGTTGATGCATTCGATGTAGTTCATATGATGACCCTCAAAAAGCTGTTGAATCGTTCCTTCAACAGCGGTTCCCTGAGAAGTGAGTAGAAGATAAGAATAGCTTTGAAGTTCAACGTACAAAGTACTCACTTTCATCTTATCCTCCAACTTCTCGCAGAGCACACGGTTCAACTCCTGGACATCGTGCTGCATAAAGGAGTCGTACGTATCCCACCCAAAGGACTTTGTTAAATCCTTCGTAGCCACACTCGTGTCACTGTATTGCAGCTTGTAAAAGAGGCTCTGTAAAGCCAGTGGAATGCTATTTGAGGGAACATCGTTCTCGGTCGTGGGCATATGGTACACTGCCTGAATTACAAGAACTTAACTGTGAGACCGAACAGTCAAGGGATAAGAGATAATAGTTACCTTACGGAAGTAAGGAATGTGGTAAAGCGTCTGAAGTAGTGAGTTCATGTAGCAGGTCGCACCCTGATTCTTCAACCCAACGAAACCAGTCTCCTTCTTCGAATCGTAAGCCCAGTAATCCATCACCTTCCGAACATTTACATCCGCCTCTATACAAACCGTATCATTTACAAGGTATCCTCTAGACGAGTCGTAAAGTTCGTGCAGTGACATGAAAGAGGTAAAACCCCAGTCGCTCTCACGAGAGTTGAACTGGTGCTGAGTATCTGTACAAAGAAAACGCTTAGCGTCAAATCCCGACTTCTCTTTAGCTGCTGCAACATCTCACCTTTGCGCATACTCAGCTTCTGCTCGAACTGGTTAATGACCGCCAGGCTGAATTGCGCGAATCTAGTCCAGCCGTAAGGCAAAGTCGCAGAATCCGCAACGTCGAGGTAGATGGACAGATGGTCGACATTGTTTCCTTTGGGGAAGACAAGGATACGCCTGCAAGTCACAAAACACTCGCTCATCCCACCCCACGAAGAGCAAAAAAAGAATAAAGCTCGTCACACACGTACCACTTATACCCCCCGATGATGAAGGTGTCAGAGTAGTGCTTCCTCATAGTAATTCTCGAAAAGTTTGGGATTTGCCACGAAAACTTTCCAGACAGCGGGTCCTCTACAACCTGGTTGTCTGCACTGCTCACCGTCTCGGTTTGCCCTACAACTGAAGAACACCGGCCACATTACTTCCAAATCGCTGGAAGAAGCGAAAACCCACCTTCCATTGCCTCGATGCTGTCGTTCACCTTGCCGGACACCAGCATGCTCTCATCTTCCTGCGAAATCCAGTGATTACTTCCGCGAAAATATTTCCAGATCCTACACGGGGCAGGGCAACAGTGACCGACACATACCTCTAGAGGCGCCGCCATGACTGTCATCGCTCCAGCCGAATTCGCAAACCCTATCTCCGATTCGCGAGCGCAACACGATTGACACTGCCGCCCGCTCCCCCCAAACCCTAATTTCCTGGGACCAGGTCAAAATATTTTGCTCGATCGATGGATCGAGGGAGCGGCGATGGCGCGAAGAATCAATCCAGTGAGCATGCACTGAGGGATCAGCCCTGCCGCACCGTTTGCTAGCCTAGCCGCAAGCCTCCCCCCCCCCAAACACAAACACCCCACACCAAAATAAAAAAAAACTTGGTGTATAGTGGCTTTGTGTGCTTATGTGTCATCGCTGTGTCACATGACGTGTCTGACACGTGTGCTTTGGCGTGTCACTGAAGAGCCCTAATCCGGCTCTTTCGCGCCATCTCGGCGATTTGAATGAACGAGTGTGTCGATCTTGCCAGATCTTGCCGGTGTCTATCCCGCGCGCGGCAGATCCATCGCGAAATCTCTGCGCTCCAGGGTCCTCCTCTTCCGATCTTCCTCTCCAATCTCTTGATCCGGATGTATGGCAACTGTGGCAGCGCGGAGGATGCGCGGAGGGTTTTCGATTCGATCCAGGCCAAGGATGTGTTCTCCTGGAATCTCCTCCTCTCGGCCTACATCCAGAGCGGGCAGATCAAATCGGCCAAGGATTTGTTTGATTCTATGCCCGAGAGGGATGCCGTGTCCTGGAACACGATGCTTGCGGCGTTTGCCCAGAGCCGCCAGCTCCACTGCGCTCAAGATCTCTTCGCAAGAATGCCGCTATGGAGCTTGATCGCCTGGAACTCGATGCTCTCGGCGTACTCTCGCAGCGTGGATGCGATCCAGAAGCTCCAAGATCTCTTCGATTCCATGCCGGTCACAAATCTCGTCTCCTGGAGCGTGCTCTTGGCGGCATACGCGCAGATTGGGGATTTCCAGCGCGCGCTTGCGATTCTGGAAAGAATGCCCGACTGGAATCTCGTTGCCTGGAATTCGCTGCTGGATGCTCATGCCCGGCGAGGGGATCTGGATCGGGTGAAGCAGCTCTTCGATTCGATGCCCGATCGAGACATCCTCTCCTGGACCGCGCTCCTCACTTGCTACGCTCGATCCGGGAGATTATCCGATGCTTCCCTCCTCCTCGCCGCCATGCCCGCGTGGGATCTCGTCTCCTGGAACGTGATGCTCGCCGCGGAGGCCGAGAGTGGGAACATCCACAGCGCCAAGAATTTCTTCGATCGAATGCCGGAGCGGAGCTTCGCGTCCTGGAATCTGATGATCACCGCCTACTCGCACGACGGCCAGGTGAAATCCGCCAAGAGCCTCTTCGATCAAACCCCAGCCAAGAACCTCCTCCTCTACAACGCGATGCTCACAGCCTACGCCCAAAACGGGTGCCACGCCCTCGCGATCGAGCTCTTCGCCTCGATGCCGTGCAGAGATCTCGTCTCCTACAATGCAACGCTCTCCGCGCTCGCGAAATCTAGCCCTATCGATCAAACCAAAGATTTCTTCGACCTAATTCCCGAGAAGAACATCGTTGCATGGAATGCGATGCTCACAACATATGCCGAGAATGGGCATCTGGAAATGGCGATTTCCATGTTCGATTCGATGAGCCATCATGATATTGTGTCCTACACTGCCATGGTCACTGCGTATGGATCGAGCGGCCAGATAGAACACGCAAGAATACTGTTTGATTCGTCACCCCAGAAAGACGTTGTTTTATCAACTGCCATGCTCGCAGCATATGCCCATTTAGGGTTCTTGGCAGAGGCTAGCACAATTTTCCAATCTTTGCAAGAATGCAGCATAATCACGTGGAATTCTATGCTAGCTGCTCACGCATTGAGCAGCACAATCGAGAAATCCCAGTGGATTTTCGATTTGATGCCGGTAAGAGATACAGTGTCTTGGATTTTGATGCTCAGCGCATATGCCCGGCTTGGGCATCTGGAGAGAGCGATTTCCTTCTTCGCGACAATGCCAATGCCACACGCAGTCCCAGATCGCGTCGTGCCCTGGAACACGATGCTCGCAGCGCACGGAACCAGCGGCCAGGACGCCGAGAATCTCCTGTGGGCCGCGAATTTGCAAGGCGTGGCCCCGGATGCTGTCTCCTTCGTCTCGATTTTGGGGGCGTTTGGCCACACCGGCGACGTGGATTCCGGCTGGAGCTACTTCGTGTCGATGCGCAGCGATTACTCGACCCAGCCGGAGAAGCTCCACTTTGGGTGCATGGTGGCGATCCTGGCTCGAGCTGGGAACTTCGATTTCGCCCGGGATCTCCTCGACAGCATGCCATTCGTTCCAGGGATCGAGCAATTGAGCTGCCTGACACTGTTCTAGAGCCAAACAAATTAGATTTCGTCCAGGAACTTGCAGAGATCGAGCAATTGGGCTAAGACGCAATTGCCCATCTCGAGATCTAGACTAGACAATTGGAAGAAACAAAGATCTTCCTCCACGTGCCATATATCATGTGTCGAAGGGCACCAAATTATAAAACTATATACGTGATCCTATCAAGCATCCCTCAAGCTCCCATATATAATATCTATGGTCCTTTCAAAGGGCTGTCTCTTCGCTCTTCGGAGCACTGGCCGCCTCGACTCTCTCCTGGACAGCATCCACAGCCTTGTCTTGGACGCTGCTTTTCCCCTTGAGATCCTCGGCCGCGGCCTTGAGCTCTCCCGCCGCGGCCTCTTTCTTCTCTGGAGCAACGTCGGCCTCGGCCTCCGTCAAGCACTTCCCAAACGGCTTGCCAGGGTGGCCAATGTTATCGACAAAGTTGGGGAGAATGTCCTCGGCAGCGTCGGGGAGCTTGGCAGTGTCCATACCCCCACCACCACCTTCCTTCTTAGCTCCTGCTCCTCCCATTTGCTGCTTCGCGGCGTCTGGAAGGACGTTGGCACTTCCCATAAGCTCCGAGTCGCTTGGAACTTCGCCGCTGGTCTTCTTTGCCTCCTCCGTGCGGCTCTTCTTTGGCTCCTCCGTGCCTGATCCATGGCCTGCTTCTTCCGTCTTTGGCTTCTCGCTCTCCTTGTCTTCGCTGGGAAAGGATCCTGCCTGCTTCTTGAAATCCATGGAGGAAAAAAAAAACGAAATGTGAGTAGACAAAGAGAAGAACCGAGAAAGTCTAAACTGTCGGATGGAACTTCTCCAGTGGATATTTTTATAGAGTCCGGGAAAACGAGTAAAGGGGCCCAAACGGGATCACTATCCTCCTGTGAAGAAAGATGGACGAGGTAAATGTGAGACAGAGAAAAAAAGATATATACAAAACTGCCAAGTGCCACCCAGACTCCGATTCACCAAAGATTTTTATCAAGCCGCTGTGGTTTGATTCGTCACAGTGAGAGAACTATAGTACAAAGCTTTCGAGCCTTATTTCGTGCTGCTACCTTGTCTGCCAAAAAAAAGAAGAGTTTAGCATAAAAGAAATGGAAAAACTTGTCATACCAGGTAATGAATTGTCTCGCTCCAGTTAAGAACTCTGTATCTGCAAAGAGGGAGAAGTCAACCAGGGAATCGTGAATCAAAAACATGTCCTTCAGCCACGCCAATTCCTCATACGACTGGTCCGTATTCTAGTTACACGAGCACTGCTCCAACCGGTTCCAAGACCGGGAGCAACGACGTGCAACGTCAACGGGCAGCGCAGTGAGATTACTAAATTATGCATCATAGGACCGAACCACTAGAAGGAAAAAACAGTAAAGCGAAGTTACATTTTGCGCTTAGAAGTTTAAGATGATCTTCTCTTGTGGAACCAAAGTAGATCAGTCACATCCTGCAATAAAAACATCACAGTGAAGGTAGAGCAAAGGGTCTCTACCTTGAGCATGCCCTTGTGGCCAAAGAAAAGTAACAACTTGAGAGGAATCTGGAATACTTATGTTCTTCGAAAAGGCTGCCTGTGGCACAATAAAGCGAAGTTAAATGAGAGATGGTGTAAAGGAGAAAACAATGAATCATGTCTACAACAGTGAGAATAAAAATACCTGGACATATCCTGATTTGCCCATCCAGCTCCCATCAGTCTGCCAGAGTATGGGAATTATGCTCACGCCATGTCCTATCGTAGAGATAAGTGAGAATCGACAACCGAAAAAGAAACAAAAGAAGAGTACCCGATATGCCATTCTGTAAAGACCCTCACATCGCTCCTCCTGTTCGCGTCAATTCCGGCCTCTATAAGTGATCGAATCGAACTGTCCTGAAAAAAGAAAGAACCATACGTAAACCATCCCAAAAGATAGCGAACTACAAGTAAAAAAAACGAGTGGAAAGAAGGAAACGTCATGTCTACGTAAACTATCCCAAGAGATGAAAGAACGAGTGGAAAGAAGAAAAAAAATGCCCTACGTAAAAACAAAAAAAGAAACGAGTGGAAAGAAGAAAAAACCATGTCTACCATAGCAAGAACAAAGGAAAAAAAAAAAAAAAAACGAATGGAGATGGAAGAAAAAAGAAGAAGAAATCCCGTTACCTGATACCAGAGCCAGTCGCGAAGAACAGCACAGTCTGGAACTTCTCTGGAGGGTAGAGCTGGTCGATATCGAAACCTTTGCCAAATTTTGGGAATTTAGGGTTCCTGGCAAGGGATTCTTGGAGTTCCTAGGACGTGGAGGGCACTACCTCGGCTGTGCTGTGCGATCTGGCCAAGGGAGATAAGGTGGATTTAAGCCAAGTAATGGGCGGAGGCCTTTACACATGCCATTGTTGGGCATTTGCAACACTTACGGATTCTCAAGCTTGGAGATCTTCTTTGGGCATAGAATCGAACACTTGTCTAAAGTAAAGAAGCATATCTTGTGTGGAGATATGTAATATGTTTTTTTCCTGACAATATTCTTTCATGAAATTAGAACGTTCTTCTAGCTTCCAAATGCCCAGCTTGGGCATTTTCATTAGCCCATGTTGACTTTTGCGTTGACATGGTTGACTTTACATTGACTTACATTGAAAAACTGGCTCTGGCTCCTAAGAGATTCTTTCTTCTTGCGATGCTCCACAGCGATGGCGTTTCGACCACCACCACCACCAGCAGGAGCTGGAAAGTGGCAAAGAAATCGACGAAGGGAATCGCCACACTCTTGGCGGCGCTCAAGGAGGCAAGCAAGGCCAGGGATGCCAAGAGGGGGCGGGAGCTCCACTCCGACGCCATAGCCAGTGGAGTGGCGGGCGATCTCTTCGTGGGCAGCAGCCTGGTGGACATGTACTCCAACTGCGGCCTCATGGGCGAAGCGCGAGAGGTATTTGACGCCATGCCCAGCCATGACATTGTCTCGTGGAATGCGCTCATGCTCGGTTACGCAGAGAACGACCATGGATTGGCGGCGCTCGCCCTCTTCTCGCCGATGCGCGACGAGGGCTGCTCTCCAAACTCCAGAACTTTTGTTGCTGCGGCTAAGGCATGTTCTAGCATTCCCACGGCTGAGAAGGAAGAAGAAGTTCCAAGAGGTAGCGAAGTATGCTCGACTTCGAAGATGAGATCGCTGGAGATTGGAATGGCGATCCACTCGCAGGCGCTGGAGAGGAGGTGCGGATCCATTTTCATGGAGAGCTGCCTCGTCGATATGTATGCCAAGTGTGGCGGCATGGACGACGCTCGGCGCGTTTTCGAGAGCATGGAGAGGAGGAATATGGTGGCCGCTCATGCTGGGCTATGCCGAGAGTGGCGATGGCCAAGCTGCGCTCAAGCTCTTCCAGGTGATGGAACGCGAGGATTGCCCGCGGGACGCTCGGACTTTCGTTGCCGCGGTGAAGGCTTGCTCGAGCCTGGCTATGGCGGCGAAGGAAGGATCATCTAGCGCGAGAGCCTTGAGAGCTCTTGAGACCGGCATGGCTGTTCATCGCGAAGCTCGCAAGAGTGGATTCGAGTCGGATGCTTTCGTGACTTGCGGACTTGCGCATACCATACTTGTATGCGAAGCGTGGGAGTATGGAGGATGCGAGGAGGATCTTCGAGCGCTTCGCCAGCCACGACGTTGTCTCGTGGACGGCGTTGATACTTGGCTATGGTGACAATGGCGAGAACGAGGTGGCGGTGGAGCTCTTCTTGCGCATGGTTCACCAGGGATACCATGCAAACGCTCGGACTTTCGTGGCAGTGGTCAAGGCTTGCAGCAGCCTTGCCGAGGAGGAGCAAGGCGGAAGTGTGATAAAGTTTCGCGCTCTCGCCACTGGAATGGCGATCCATCGCCTCGCAGCTGCGAACGGTGGCTGTGATTCTAGTGGACGTTTTCGTGGGGAACACTTTGATCGACATGTATGCGAAGTGTGGAACTATGGTGGATTCCCGGCGAGTTTTCGATGCGATGCTTACACGGGACGTGGTCTCGTACAACGCGATCATGCTGGGCTATGCCGAGAATGATGGCGAGGCTATGGCGCTCGAGCTACTCGCGGCCATGCACAGGGAAGAACCGCGCGTTGTGGCGAATAGCTTGAGCTACCTTGCTGCTGTGAAGGCTTGCAATCACTTGGCATCGCGAGAAGAAGCCAGGGACTTCGATGGAAGAGCTGTGAAGATCGAGAGCCTGGAGAAAGGCATGGCTGTTCATGCTCGAGCTACGGAAGCCGGGTGTGATCGAGATCTTTTAGTGGCGAGCAGCCTGATCGATATGTACTCGCGAGCTGGAAGCATGGAGGATTAGCACAGGGCCTTCGATCAAATGGAGAGCCACGATGTAGTGTCATGGACGGGGCTCGTCTCCGGCTACGCCGAGAATGGCGATGGCGAGAGCTCCCTGGCGGTGTTCTTCGCGATGGTGGACGAGGGAGTGGAGCCCGACTCGTGGACGCTCGCGGCGGCGCTCAAGGCGTGCGGATCCATCGCCTCGAGCAAAGCTGGGCGACGTCTCCATGGCGAGATTTGCCGGCATGGACTGGAGGGCGATACCATCGTGGTCACCGGTTTGATCGACTTCTATGGCTACCATGGCCGACGCTCAGCGTGTCTTTGATGGTTCCATGGTTGCCGCGCGGGACGTGGTTGCATGGACGGCTCTAGTGTCCGGCTATGGCCGCCAAGGTGACGTGAAGTTCGTGTTTGTGACGTTCCAGGCGATGGTGAACACTGGCGTGAGGCCGGGTGGTGTGACCCTGCTGTGTGTGCTAGCCGCGTGTAGCCATGCCGGGCTTGTGGAGCGAGGGAAACGATTGTTTGGACCGAAAGAGAGAAGTATGGGATTGAGCACTACCACTGCATGATTGATAGGGGGCGAGCAAACCATCTGGAGGAGGCGCTGGAGATTGTGAGATCGATGCCTTTCCAAGCGGGTGTCGTGACCTGGATGACGATCTTGAGCGCTTGTAGGAAGTGGAAGAACACGAGAGTTGGAAGTGAAGCATTTGATGCGTTGGTTGGAATGGATGTGAGGGTGAAATCGTCAGCGTACTTGTTGATGGCTCATGTTTATGAGAGCTAAGATCATATCTATTGGCGGGAGCTCTTTGAATTTACGCCGTTGGATTTAGGGTTCTTGCTAGATTGCTGATATTCTCTCCAACTCTATCTATGCTCCATCGTTTAAGATCTCCTCTTGACTTGACAGGTCTCCCAGTCGGATTCAAGGAGACTGAAGACTGGAAACGATACACGAAGCTTAAGATCTCCTCTTGACTTGACAGGTCTCCCAGTCGGATTCAAGGAAATGTGTAGACTGAAGACTGGAAACGATACACGAAGCTTAAGATCGTCCTCTGGAAAGAAGCCTGGTATTGTTTAGATTATTCTTCCTAGGATGTCAAGTAAAGATGCTCGATTGAGAGAGATCTTTGCCGGAGTGTTTGCAGACTCCACTTTTTAAAGGTATTATGTACTTTTCTCGTCTTGTCACTACTACTCACTTTCTTGCGCAGGCTTTCTGCCAAATACAAAAGAGTCCCTTTTGCCACCGCTCCGAGTCATGAGAATTTCCCCATGCTATGCTTTAAGTTCATATTGCATTAGTCTAGGCCTTGGATGATCTGGATCGCGTGTGCTTCGTGCCACTTGCAGCCGAACTCTTGCAGCCGATTGTTGATTTCCAAAGTCCAATCCAGATCTTGTGCTCGTTGTTTATTAATCAGGGCTTTTTATTTACCAGCAAAAAACCAAAAAACTAGCTGGGCATAGTTTCATTGAGCACGAAAATAAGTTTCTTATGTCCTTGGTTGAAATGCTTCTTAAAACTTAAGCTGCATTTACATTTCTGACCATTTTGAGCTGGAAGGCATGCATGCTTCTATATGTCAGGAAAAGCGATAAAAGGATGCTCAAGCATTTGCAGGTATTTTGTGATTAATGTCTGTTTTCATCTCCTAGTTTCACCCTTCCACAGGTGCCAATGTGGAGCGAGCTCGAACAGAAAAAAGCTTCCAAGCAGACATAAATCGATTTGCTGCATTGACTGATCACCTTTCTTCCTTAGGAACAATGACACTTGAAACAGAAAAACTCATTTTCGAGCAGAAATAATCAGTGATGTGAATAGTAGTTCATCCTGGAGTGTTTGTAACATCTCTGAGAGAATTTTGTTTGGCAATCTAGCAGTTCTCCAAGAGAAGGTTTATAGCCAAGCTTCCCCGCATTGTAGCTGAATCTCAGCCTAGATCTTGGCGGGAGGGCCGCCATGTTTTCCCACACGGTTTTCGAATCAATTTCATGTGATAGTTATTGTCACATGACAATAACTGTGACCTAGGAACAGAAAGAGAGGCAAAACATTGTGTGTCCGTTTCAGGGCATTGCAACAGACTCCAATTCCTTGGTCTCATGTTAGGAGATTCTAGTCGGTGACACCATGACCATGCTTTCTCACTCGGTTTCTCCTTCTCTCACTCGTTTCCCTTTCTCTTTGCTGCACATAAGGGTGACAAATAAAGGTCTTTTTTACACCCTTATTTCTGGTTGCTACTGTTGCAAATTCTGATGGTGGCTGTTTCTAATTATTAAACAGTGCTTCTTACACAAATGACATTTCTTTTTCATTCTCCCATGGCTTAAGCTAATGATCCTTCATTCTAATTGTGATGGAACTACTGATTAATTGATGAGGGTGCAGTTGAGCTCGATATCTCCATATTTTGACCTTGTTGTTAGCTACATCACAAGAGGTTTTGAGTAAACTATAGAATAAACTTATATAAAAAAAATTTGGATGGAACAATATCATAAATTATATTACAATTTTTGGTTTGAGATGGTAATGGATATACCTAGAAAATGCTTGGATATTCTAGGATATTCTATCATCTAACGGTTGTTATTCATTTAGATTAATTTTGTATTTATAATTTATAAACATGTCTATAATTTTTAAACTTTCTTAAACTCTTTTTAGTATATTCTTTTTTATTCTATCATCTAATGGTTGATATGCAATAAGATTAATCTCATGTTTATAAATTACAAACATGCTTATAATTATAAACTTTATTTGATTATTAAACAAACCAAGCGATGCAACACGTGGCAATTTATTACAAGATTACATCAAAGCTTTCAAGTTGGACCATCTCTCCTTGGAACTAACAAGAAACGCAACACACAAAACTGCAGTTTGGAGCAGCAAGCTGGTGGTGCTCCAAAATCCTTGCAGACTTTGCTGGATTGAAGCATCTGGAGCAGCCCATGCTTCATCTCCTATTGCCAAGATGAAACAAAAGAGCTCTCTCCTTTTCAATGGAAGTGGGGGCCAGCCTGATGCTGCAGAGCAGTTGATATCCCGCCAATGGTGGACCATCATCAAGGCTTTTTGTGCGGCTCCTCCGCAGAAAAAGAATTTGTAAGAGCAATTTTTTATATTTTTTTTAATTCACACATTAGCAGATTTACATGGTCCTTATGTAAGAGCAACATCATTTTTATAAATATTTCTTTATCCACTCATGTTCGAGGACCTTTTCCAAAGCAAACCTCCTTCCGGGATCCAATTCTGTCATGCCTTGGATAAGCTGCCTTGCAGAAAGGGATGGAATGCTATCCCAATCCATAGAATTGTGATGGAGGTTCTTTAAACTTCGATCTCGCTTGCGTGCATTCTTAAATACCACCTCCACATCCATATTTGGGAATGGACAAGTTGCCGTGAGACAAGTGTAAAGCAGCATCCCTAAGCCCCACACATCGCTGGCTGTGATATAGCGCCTATCGAGCATCGCTTCGGGGGACATATAATCCCACGTCTCAGCCCCACGCTCGTTCCACAGATCCTCCATCCAGCAAGCCATCCCAAAGTCGGACACCTTTGGGACATAGAACTTCCCAGGCCGCGGGTACTTCAGCAAAACATTCGCGGGCTTCAGGTCGCAGTGGATGATCTCGTTGTCATGAACCCTCTTTAGCGTCTTGGCAAGAGCTATGACGATCTTTGCAGATTCTTCCTCATCAAGCTGCCCCTTGTACTTGATCCGGTCCTGAAGGCTGCAATTGCACAGCTCAAGAACAAGGTGGTACACCTCCCCGTACTGATTGGGCTCTTCTCGTATGAGCTGCTCGAAGTGGACGAGCCCCTGCTCATCGAGACCCTTGAGTGACACCTCCAGCATAGCCATCAGCCGAGCTTCAAACAGCCCATCGGGCCCATGGACTGTCTTGATCACAAAAACCTTCCCATCACTCCTTCAGAATGCCTTGTACACCGTCGCTTGCCCTCCACCCCCAATCGATTTCTCTAGTTTATATTTCTCTACCAGTGCTGGGTGTTCCTCACAGAGTTTCTCATCCAGGACTGTGTGGTATTCCATCCCTTGCTTAGGTTTCTTGTGGACACAATTCTTCAAATTATGCTCGCACTCATGCTCACGTTTAACCATCTCGAATGAGCTCTAGGGCTTGTTTGTAAAGACAGAATCTTAGTTTAAGCATCTTTTATTTTAAAGGTATCATGTTTAAGTGAACATTTCCTGGAATGCCAAATGAGAAACTCTCGGCGATGGGATTGAGAACCCACGGGACGGTATTGGTTCTGGGATACGCTCAAACCGGCAGGAAGATTTGGCTCTCGAGCTCTTCTCGCAGATGGAAGCTGCTATGATCAATCCAGATTGCTCGAGTTTTCTCATGGCTATCAAAACTTGCTCTAGTCTGGCTGCGCGAGAGGAGATTGATGCGTCGTTGGCTGTGAAGATCAAGAGCTTGAAACGAGCTTTGGCGATTCACTCTCATGCATCAAACTCTCGCGGCTTCAAGTTGGAGGCGTCGTTTGCCATACACTTGGCAAACGCGATGGTGGACTTGTATGGCAAGTGTGAAAGTCTAGAAGATGCTCGCAGGGTGTTTGATTCGATGGAGCAGCACGACATCGTTTCCTGGACATCGATCATCACAGGCTATGCTCACGAGAGCCAAGATGGAGACGAAGCTTTCCTTCTCTTCTCTTCCATGCAAGAACAAGGATTTAAACCCGATCGTTTAGCTTGTCTCGCCGCTATCAAGGCTTGTAGCGTAATCACCGAGAAGAAAATGGGATTTAGACGTAGAATCTCAAGAAAGCAATGAAAATCCACTCGTGGATCTCGCAGCTTGGCCTGGAGAGAGATCCAGCAGTCTGGTTGATATGTATGCCAAGTGTGGAAGCTTGATCATGGACGCTCGCAGGGTATTTGATAAAATCTTAGATCGCGACATAGTCTTGTCTTGTGGAACTCTTTCCTGTTTGGATGTGTTTACATTGGCGAGGACGAGCTTGCGTTGGAATGCTATGCAGCCCTGGAAGTTGCTCCAAACTCTCAAACCTTTCTTGCGTTGTTGCAAGTTTGCAGGAACCTGGGAGATTTGAAGCTCGGGAAGCTCTTCCACGCACAGATTCTCCGGCAGGGACTGGAAGGGAGTTCTGTGGGGATTTCCCTGCTTGTGTTGCGGACCACATAGAAATCGCTTCCTGCTTCCTGATGTTGTCAATCTTTCCATCACTTTCTTTTCTCCAGGTCCGAATCACAGCGAAAAGTGGAGCTACCTCTCTGATACAATGGCAGCAATCGGTGGTGGCTTTGCGAAACCTTTGTGGCAAAAATTCAATGTGAGAGCTTGGCAAGAGCTTGTTGACAACACCAAGCTTGCTCTCGAGCTCGGTGACTGTGTAAACTCGCTGGTAGCCGCAAAACCAAGGCTCTCAAGACTCCAACAGGGATCACCCCTTCAAAGATTGTTTGGCGCGAATCCTCAAATATACATCAAAGTTTTTTCTCAAGTGCATCTTTTCCTACTCGCATGCTCCGAAATGCTTGGAACGCAGCGATGGCGTCTCCTCGAGCGCCACGTCCTGCAATCAAAGTATTCCATGCCACAGTGTTGGGAGACGCAATGGAGCTCTCAAACACAAGCTCGGCGACCTCGACGCTCCCGCATTTACAGTAGAAGTCGAGACTACATATCACCTAGTCTGCAGTGAAGGAAAAAGAGAAAGATCTCATACTTATGTGCAAGATTCAGCCATTCCAACTTGTCCACAAATCATACAGTTGCATCCTATCACAACATTATGTCCAATCTACATGCAAAGAAGCCAAGAGTAAGCAGTGCTTAAGAAAAGAAAATGTTTCTCAAACGTGAACCAAGTTGTCAAGCTTCACCTTATCCCAGATGACTGTATCACACCAGCTGATGATTAGTCTAGGGCAAATGAGACTTCAGAAAAAGAACGAGCCACTTTTGCTACCTCTCAGGGTCGAGGATGAATTGGCACTCACTGCTTCCAATCTTTATCAGCAATTCCTAAGAAAAAAACATTGTTTGTCGTTGCATTGCTTTTATTATTTATAATAAATCAGTGCTTGGAAAATTTGGTACTTTTCCTAAACAAGATATTGTTTCAGAATGTTTATAAATTCTAAATATGTTATAGTTCGTTAGATTGACGGTTTGCTCAAAAGTAATTTGTATGTTCAATTACATTCTTTTCTATTTTTAATTTCTTTTTCTTTCCATTCATTGTTACGATCAAAACTCTTGATCATAGTTTCACATCTACGTGTACAAAAAAAGCTGGACGCCACTTGCGAGCAAATGCTTGGTCATCGACTTGAGGCAGGAGACCAAGCAGCTCAAGGCACAGTTGAGTTAGTTCCTTTCATTTCTTTAGATGTACAGTATTTCTAGAGGATGCTCGGAGCATCTTCGTGGAGATAGAGCAGCCGAACAAGGTTGCATCATATCTAGAGTTGTGGGTTTCGACTAATGCTCTGGCTAAATGCTATTCCAGGACGAGCTATATGGTAATTCCGGTTGAGTTGGACCGTTTGCCTTGAGGACCTCATTTCAGTTGAATTCGTTAGGGTTTGGTTGCAGGTTTATCATTTGGGAATGGCGGGATCATGAATGTGCCGAGGTAAAAGTAGATTTGGAAGCGCGAGATTTCTCTCTGGATCCAGGAATTTTGAGAGTCAGGCCGAAATGGAGAAGATTTGGTGTCTCGGCTGCATTTTCTTGCGCCGGCGTCTCATTCCACGCGACGTTGCATCACAGCGATGTGCTATTGACGACTGATGTGCATTGGTACACACAGACTCTGGATCACTACGTGACTCAAGTGAGAAGTTTTCTTTCTTTTTCCTTTGAGAGATTGGATTTTTACGTGCTCGATCTTTGCAGGACGATGGAACTTTTGCTCACCGTTACTATGAGTTTACTGACTACTTCGATGCTCAAGATGTGTGGTGAGGGACCGTGTGTAGGGATCCAAAACGATTACAGTGCGGTAAGAAAAGCATTTTTTCTCGACTGAATTGGATCGCTTTTCTTACCCGTGGTGTCAAGGTGCTAGTGAAAAGATTAGGAGCCACGATTGTTTCTCTAGAACACCAATGCTATGGACAAAGCTCGCCATTCAAATCTCACGTGACAGAGAACTTGATTTTCCAAGCAGGCTCTTTTCGATCTTGCAGCGTTTTGTGAATATTACCAGGTGAACAGCTATTTTATAGTTTCACGGCTTGAATAGATAAAAGAGTCGGCTATAAAAAGGAGGGACATAAATGCGAACATCAATACTTATGATCAAAAGCACTTGAAAGAAAAGTTGGCTGCAGGAGATCTTTCGAGTAAGTCTAACGTTGAGATTGTGTTTTTGTTGATAGCCTGCATGTAGGTGATAGGTACCAAGTGTGCACCGAATTGGCATACTTTCAAGCAGCGCCTGCCAACAATAGCATTCGCTCTGCTCTCATCAATGTCAAATACATAAGCACAAGCATTGTTGGTCCCGACTGCGTTTGGCCGAAATCCCGACTGCCGCTGAATGCTGTCGGACAGCCCCGTTCGGTGATTCCGTTTGGCAATCGTGCTCGCAAGGGCTAGATTAACGATGCTGCTGCGGCTAGGTTATCGCCATCGCCACTGCATCTCCACCGCTTTGCTGTTCTCCTGCTGTTATGGAGTGATCCATCCATCCACAGCAAGCCTACATTGAATCTGACCAAGAGGGCTATAGCCTATAGGAGTTGCATGCGTACTGAGCTAGGGTGACACTCTCCAGTTGGTCGGCCTCCGCTTTCGATTGAGCGTGGAGCAGCTCACTAAGGCCTTGCAAATCGCTCAGTCCTCTGTGACACTTGAACTGTAATTTTGCCCTCAAATGGAAATTACAATTCCAGAGATTTGATTCTAGTGATTTTAGCGGTTCTAGCAATTTTTCATGTTCAGAACCAAGCTTGCCAAATGTTTATGGAGCAAATCGCAAATGCCCTTTTGTTTTTACCTTCTACAGCAAATTTATAGAGTAAGCATTTTGATGGGGCATTTGCTTTTGGAGCTAATACACAAAGTATTAGTCAATCTCAGCCTATGAGTGTTTTTATAGGCCATGAGGGATCATTTGTTGGTCAAAAGTGAATGCAAAATAGCAACATTAGGGAAATGTTTGATGATGCAAGAAACATGAACTTAAATGATGCGATATCAAAGTTTATTTTCTTGAATGCTATACCATTTAATGTTGTGAAAATCTTATATTTTCATGTAATGATTGGAACTGTTTGTAGTGCCGGACCTAGTTTTACTAAAAATGTTTTTTTTTTAATCAAAAAAACTTTGTGAACCATTCGGCCGTTCGGCATTTTTTCAGCCGGTCAATAACCACGGTCGGCCGGTCGGCCAATCGGTATTCAGAACAATCAGGACCAATCTTGAGTTGCACAAGCGGTATCATCTTATCCCATGTCCTAATACTTGTGTAGGGCGGGTGCCATTTGGATTTACGCTCCAACGTCTTCGAGAACGGCACATTCCCAGAAGTCGATAGCACGAACCTTTACTACGGGGGAAACAAGATCCCTGATGTTGTCCATCATTCGAGATAAGATTTTGTTTATAAACGGTTCCCAAGATCCTTGGTGTCATGCCTCCAAGCAAACTTCTTCGCTTAATGGTAAGAGAGCCATCATAAGCTATGTCGTCTCAAATCTGCAATTGCAGAGCCCGCATATGTGACAAAATGTCAAAACTGCGCTCATGGAGTTGATGTGTGAGGCTGTCTGCAGAGTATCGGAGTAAACCCATGGATTTCATTTAATCAAGACGATGGCTGAGGGGCACTCTTCCTAGTGGCTTTGAGGATGGCACTGGGACCTCTATTGCCTAGGCTGCATCCAAACTCTCCCTAACTTTCGAAGTGGTGAACAAAAGTTTTTGGGTGAGGCCATGATGGAGAGTGTGGTAAGTTGAGGAGGAAAGACTAAGAAATCATGCAAAAGATTGGAAGGAAGAAGAGGAGAGAGGGAAGAGGACAAAGCACCTCTCTCTATGTGATTTTTAGGACTGTGGAGTCCCAAAGGACTTTAAACATGATCAGAGGGATGGAGCTCAGCATGGATGGCTTGAACTCAATGGACTTGGACACTCACTATCACTAGCTAAGTTTTGTGGAGCATTATTGTAGCATTCCCATACCTTTTTAGCATTTAATTTTTACCATTGATTTTTGGTTTGCTTAAGCAAATTTGTTATTCATTGTTTATAATTTATATATCGTTTTAAGCACTTTCTAGTATATTTGTTTTTATTTTACCATCTAATGGTTGATATGCAATAAAATTCATCTTGTGTTTATAAATTATAAACATGTTGATAATTATAAATTTTTATTTAATCAATTGGATTAATAAGTAAGAATAACATTACTATTAAGCAAACCAAATGTTGCTATATGCAACATGTAACAGATTTTTACTATTTTATATAAAAACACAATAAAATATCCCTCAAACCATTTTACAAAATTATTAAAGGCATTAAATTGCATTTGTGAGGTTCAAGTGTACAATTACATTGCCATATACTAATATTAGAGTAGTGGGATTTTGATAACTATTAGATTAGTTTCAATATTCATTTCTATATATAAACTAGGGTTTTTGGGTTAATATATTTCTATATTCCATTTTTATATTTTATGCACTCACATTGATGGAGGTGATGTGTAATTTTGATTGTCCATGAGAAGGATTTTGGTTTAGATCTAATTTTTATATAGTCTATATCAAGACCCTCAACAAGATCAAGATTGGAAAATGCAAAAGACAAAGAGAAAAGATAGAGAAGATGAAGAAGAGACCTTAGACTGGTGTTAATTCAAATTGTGGAGAAATGGAACAAAGCTAACCTATATATACTATAGGTTGATGAAGCTCCACCACTCTTGGATCGAAGACGGCCTAAATATAGTTGAGGCCGAGGAGGCGCCACGTCATCATCAGGAATGTGGCTCGAGACTTAGGAATCGTACGGGAAATCAAAGAGTCAGGAATAGGGAAGTGTCTCGAGAGTCAGGAATGTGATCTGCAGGTCAAGAATCCGGCAAGAGTCAGGAATGTGGCAAGAATTGGGGGATTCCTAACAGCACCCCCTCCTCAAGAACAAGTGGAACGAGGATGTGA